TAAATTAAAAATCTTATTTTCTCCCATTTTTTTAATATTAAATTATGTTTCATAGCTAAATATTTGATATTAAATGAAAGCCCTGTTTCCCCTGAATAAAATGATATATAATAAGGGTGGGTGCATTTACTATGAAAGAGGTGAATTACGGTTGGACAGACATGTAGCGCAAATGCCAGGTTTTGTTTACATTTTGTTTTGTTCACAACGTGTACATTTGGCTCCATCCTTAAGGGGTTAATTACAATAGTGAAGAAACGGAGAATCTTTAAATTATCAATACTGTAGCTTTAAGAAAAGAGAGGATTGCTGGCAATTAGAGAATCAAACAAAGTTTTAATGATTGTGATAAACTTAAGTGAAAAGCATAAAATAATTCAATAAGAAGAAATTGCTGGTTATAGCAAACAATACAAAGTTAATCAATAAGTATTTCCTCAGAGATGTATTGAATAATATTCTTTAGGTTGATAGGAATAATCTTCAATAGAAATAGTATGCAGGTAGCAGAGAATATTTGCAAAGCAAGAAACAGTTCATAGTGGTTAAGCTTGATGGGAGTTATCCTCAATATAATTCAAGATTTTCCTAGTCTTGACGTCAGAAAATATAGATTTTATTAAAGACAGGAGGCGAGTATTATGCATTAACTTTCTTTACTTAACTCCAGCAGCAAAGACATTTTTTCAATAAAGTTTAGTGAATAAAAAAGGTAAAACAACAGAGTAACTGAAATGGAACGTTGGTAGCCAATCAGCATCCAGTATAGTCCATATAGTGAATGATCCCCAATATTCTCCCTCTTTCGAGCTGCGAATGTAGAAGAAGTGTCTAGTAGAGTAGCTCCAAGGATAGAATGATGAAACTCCAAACAGGATTAAGCTGAAAAATAAATAACAGGGTGGGTTAATGGGAGGGATAATACTCGCCTCCTGTCTTTAATAAAATCTATATTTTCTGACGTTAAGACTAGGAAAATCTTGAATTTTATAGCAAGACAGGAGGCTCGTATTATGCATGTTCAAAGCTATGTAGTCATAATATAACATACATCGGAAGTTATTACAATATTATTTTTGAAACATGCTGGCTAGGTCTAAAATAAAACTGTTTAAATGTAGATTCTGAAGACCAATCTGCTGTTTTTAATAGATCTGATAAAGAGCCTCCTGCTTGAAACACTTTAGTAGTCATAGCTAGTGATGTCGCGAACCCGAAATTTTCGGTTCGCGAACGGCGAACGCGAACTTCCACAAATGTTCGCGAACCGGCGAACCGCCCCGAACCGCCATTGACTTCAATTGGGAGGCGAATTTTAAAACACACAGGGACTCTTTCTGGCCACAATAGGGATGGAAAAGTTGTTTCAAGGGGACTAACACCTGGACTGTGGCATGCCGGAGGGGGATCCATGGCAAAACTCCCATGGAAAATTACACAGTTGATACAGAGTCTGGTTTTAATCCATAAAGGGCAGAAATCACCTAACATTCCTAAATCACAATCAATATGGATTGACACCTGACATATGACATATTGACACCTTGACATATGGATTGACACCTGTCCTCAGAGCCCCTGATACACACTGACACAGAGCAGAATAGAGACTGTCCCCCTACATAGGGTCACTTGGCAGATATGGATTGACACCTGTCCTAAGGATCCCTGATACACACTGACACAGAGCAGAATAGGGACTGTTCCTCCTACATAGGGTCACTTGGCAGATATGGATTGACACCTGTCCTCAGAGCCCCTGATACACACTGACACAGAGCAGAATAGGGACTGTTCCCCCTACATCGGGTCACTTGGCAGATATGGATTGACACCTTGTTACAAACTGCTATTTGTAACGGGCCCTTTAAATGGCAAATTGCCCTGTTTCCCTGGGTTGTGGAGAAGCCTCTTTGCCAGCCTCCTCCCGCATGACTATGGCCCCTGGGAGATTGTGAAAATGTATGCACTTTTATTTGGTGTGTATGGCCCTTTAAGACTGTCGGTGGGCATATTGGGGCTTATGGACTCTTTATGTGACTGGTGCTGGCCCTTTAAACACCTTTTTGGGACATCAGGAAGATTGGGACACTGCCCCTTTAAGGCCGTGTCCCCAGACTTGTTGGGGACACGGCCCCTTTAAGATGGTGTCCCCTGTGTCCCCAGACCTGGTGCAAACCCTTTGTGCCTGCCTTGCTATTTTCCACTTGGTTCAGTAAATGGGAAATTATTTCAGCTGCAGAGACTAAGTCCCATTCGGCGATGGGACTTAGTCTTTTTTTCAGCCGTTTTTTTCAGCCTTATTTCAGCTGCAGGGACTAAGTCCCATTCGGCGATGGGACTTAGTCTTTTTTTTAGCCGTTTTTTTCAGCCTTATTTCAGCTGCAGGGACTAAGTCCCATTCGGCGATGGGACTT